GAGGGCGGGGTGGGGAAGATGCTCGTCTCCTGACAAAGAACGAGTGGGACACGCCGAGCCAGGCCGCCCCGCCCGCCCGCCCGCGGAGCACGAGGGAGTGTCCGCACAAGAGGGCGGGTCTCTCATTCACTTGGCCCCCTCACCGCCGCCGCCGCCGCGGCGGAAGGGCGGGGTCTCGTCCCCCCCCACCACCCCCACCACCCGGGAGCGAGGGGCGGGGCGGGAGGCGGGGCCCGCGGGCGCGCGTCCCGAGGCGTCGGCTGCGTCGTCACGTCAGCGCGGGAGAGAGAAAGAGCGACTTCGGCAGGGACTGGGGACGGGCCGAGAGAGCTTAGCGCGAGGGAGGGCGTGAGCCAGAGTGCCAGCGAGGAGGAGGAGAAGGGCGGCCACTCGTTGCCTGAGCGGCCGCGGGACGGGAGTGGGGACGCTGGGGGAGGAGGTGCAGGGAGGGGACGGAGGAAGGCCGAGGGGCCAGGGCGGCCGGTGGCCGGCGGAGGTGGCAGGGGGAGAAGGAGGAGCTGGAGGAGGGCAGGGGCTGAGGGAGTGAGTGAGAGAAGCGGACGCGCCAGGGAGGGGAGGGAAGGGGGGTCACGCGGGGGCGCGCGCGCGCACTGGGAGCGCGCTCGGAGGCGAGTGGAACTGGATCGGGTTTGCTGCCAGCGGCGTGAGCTTCGGCCGCCATTTTACAACAGCTCCACTCGCGCCGGACACAGGGAGCAGCGAGCACGCGTTCCCCGCCACCCGACCCGGTCGGACAGGATTCCTCGGCCGCAGCCCCGCGGGGAGGTAACGACCGCCGGCACCCGGGTCTGGGAGGGGGGGAGCTCCATGACATTGTGGAGGGAGCTTGGGGGAGGGCGGCGCGGGGAGAAACCGGCTTTTCTGGAAAATGGATTCCAAGGGGGGAAGAGAGAGGAGCACGTTGGCCGGGGCTGCCAGGGAGTAGGCCGCGGCCGCGCCGCCGCTTCCTCCTCTCCCATGTGCTGCCGCGGCCGGGCTTTGTCTGCGGCGCTCCGGGAAGGAGGCGCCTGGGCAGCCCCC